TTACCTAGCTCTAAAGCCACTGGTGTTCTGTATTTGACCTAAGTGATACATTATCTGGAAACCCCTTCTAGCCCAGACACAGAACCATTTGCTTTCATCATCCATCACTTTTGATTTTCTTGGTGTTTGTCACCATCTATCACTCGAGCTTCCAGGTCCTGATCCTGCTTAGACTGGAGTCAACAGTACAATTCCAGTGGGAGCAGGACTGGAGGAGCACCCAACTTTCCTTTTTCTTCAACTCTATTCCTTTCTTTTTCTTTGCTGTCTAAAGTAACAGCAATATATCACACCAAGACACTCAGGACCCCCTCAAAGATCTCAAAGCACTCAAATAGACTACCCAGACAAGTACTTGCTAGCTCAGTAAATCTCAAATCACTTTCCAAAAGAAGTTCATATTACTAGCCTCATTTTACAGATGATGAAACTGAGGCAACTGGCATAAAATGACCTGACTTCTTCCAATGAGCGAGGGCCAGAACCGAGGAAGACATGTTATCTCCTAAGCCCCCACTGAGGCTCCACCAACTTGGCCACACTGCCTACCACTGCCCTTTCTGCCACGCAGCTGTCTCCGTGGTGGAGCACAACTGCTGCTGAACAACCCACAGGAACAGTTAGGCCAGCACAGCCTGGAATAGGAAACGAAGGAGTATCCTCTTTGTAGCTGAAAGTGCCAGGAAAGTTTAAAGAGGTTGAATGCAGCTTCTCACACTGAAATTTGCCTGCAACTCCCAGACTAAGACTATTGTTATTGTGAAAAGTGCTACTAGATCTTCCCTGTCAAATAGCAGGAAAGTCTTTGGAAGAGAAGATAACATCCCTACAGTAGTGATCCAGATACCAACTGAATGAGCGGCACCATTTCCCTAGCTTATTGTGTGGTGTCTAAATAGGAGCTCTTGAAAATGCCCTCAATTGTGGGTGCACAATATCTGAAAATCTAGCCTTATAAGAACAGAAGTTTTAAAGGTTATGATTAGGGCCTTTGTACACTACTTGTATCAGACCAAAGTGTGTAAAAATAAACCATTAATAGAGTAAATAAGTCACATGTATGTAAACATGCAATGTACTCTCTGCAGGTGAGGGACTATATGGTGACTACAGTGTGGGTATAGTGATGTACAGTGTGACTCTTTGTATTGCTACCCAAACTGAGAAGAGGCAGGGACTGAATGCAAAACATTCAGCACAAGAAGGGGGGAAAAAAAAAAGTTTATCTTTCCTGGCGGGCAGCTGTAGCCAATTCTTATTTTTTTAAAGATTGGCCACAAGGAGGGGACAAACAAGCCATTTCTGTCTGTCTTGCATTTCTGCAACTGGATGTGTGGCTCTAGAGGAGAAATATGTGCTATAACTTCAGCACGCACATGTATCTTCCATGTCCAATGGTCAAAACACATTGGTGTAATGCAATGTGAATCCTCTACTTCCAAACACAATCTGTGTGCAATGTGGATTCAGTAAGTGTGTGTCGCAGAGTGTAGTAGGTGTGACTCTGTGTGCATGAGTATTTTATGTGCTTGTGAGTACAGTAGGTGTGGTGTATATGTACAGTACAGCATGTGTTTGGATTCTGGGAGTAGGGGATGTTTAGTAATTAAATCCCTTTTCATCCTTCTGCACCTGTCTCCTTCTGAAAACTGAGAGAACAGACGTCAACCGGGACAAGGGCTGGATTGAATACAGCCAATTCTGAAATATTTATTAGCTTGTGACACCACTCAATGGAGGAGAAGGAATGCTGGCTAATCCACCCAGCAAGTGCTCGCTTGGTGGAGGGGCATTTTTCTACAGTGCCTCATTATATTTCAACTACTGTCTACTTTGTCAAAAATGGTATCATTTTAATTTGTGTCTATATTTATTTTCAAATGCTTTTGCTAGTAACCAGAGATTTCAGAGCACTGGGTTCTGAATCTAGGCTTACCTCCTGGACACTCATGGCTTTCTGGCCATATTACAGAGCTGTTTTAAAGCTTCTGTTTTGTGGGTGTATTTTCTTCACATTGCACTCTTCTAACTGCCATTCACACCAGTGAGGACCATGCAAAGTACACTGAACAGAGAAGAGACATCTTAAATTTCCTGGGTTTGCATTCATACACCTGCACATCTCTCAATTTGTAATGCAACATGAAGCTCCCCACAGCACTACAGATAGGACTTGAAACCCAGATGTGAGCAATCCCTCGCTCTCACTAGCCCTTAGATTTCACATAAATGGAAGTTACATGCTCTTTCTTCAGGCTGTTGCAGGACACTTGTCAATGCCTTATGGTACAGCAGTCAACAAATTTGTCTGGATCAGTGACTATGAATTGACTTTAGCCTCAGGTATAACTGTGTAAGGTTTAAGTCATGACATGGGGACCCAGATTTTAAGCTTCCTTACGTTTGGGAGTTCTTGCATTTGGACTCTGGTTTTGAGTAGCCATCTGTGCTGGCAAATGGATATGAGCTTTCACTAGTTCCTCTGAAAAGGTTCTTGACCCATATAGGGCCATTGCTGGTGAAATCCTGAAGTGTTGTGGACTGCCTGTGGGGCAGTGCTGGACCTCCCTGTGCTTAGAGAACTTCATCAGTTCATCAAAGAGTATCTTAACCAGCGAGATGCCTCCCACCAGGGTATGCACTGTGTTTGAAACAGTTCAAACTACCACAGGCTGAGTTTGTATATATCTATTTACCTTCCTATATATGTACACATAACATATAGCTATAGCTATGCATTCCTGGATATATATGTGTATACATGTGTACAGGCAGGCATCCCTGTGTGTACTTATAGCCATATACCTGTATGTAAGCTTGACATTATCTTTCTTTGCTGTAAGTGGCCACACCCTAATCCCTGAGAAATTATTATTATTTTTGAAGGTAAAACTACACTGGGGTGGATGACAACCAGGGCTTATAGTGTCAAAGGAAGGGTTCAGATAAAGCAAAGATTAAGGTCAGCTCTTGTAGCAGCAAACAGAACAGTTAGTTTCCTTTTAAATGGGAGCTTATATACGTGTTATACGCCTTCTCAAAGACACTATCGCTGGAGAGAGCTTGTCCCTTCCTGTTAAAGAGTATTCAGTGCCCTTAGAGATAACTTCAGTCCAGAGGCTGGCTTTAGTTGAAAGGGAGGACTGGACTTTGATTTCTAGTGGAAAGCAAAATCTGCTCACAACGAAAGCCTCTGTGTGCAGAGACTTCCTGGGAAGGAACCCTCTCTTCACCAAAGTAGAAAATATCCAGTGAACCTCATGGACCTCAGAAGTAACCTTCTCGTTAGGATCTCTTGGGGATTTGACAGATGCCAGCTAGATGCAGATGCTGCAGATCCCTGAATAGGGATGGGGGTTAAAAAGTTTTCTTGCCAGCACTGCGCAAAAAAAGAAAAAAAAAAAAAGGCAAGACTGACAACAAATTCCACTGTGTGAGGCTTATTCTGGATGGTTTTGGCATGATGCATCGTTGCAACTATTTTGTTTGAGCAGTAATTAGACGTGGCCCTGGGGGACTGCAAGTGCATTAGAAGGGACGAGGCTCACCATGAGCCAAATGGCTGCTCTTATTGTTCTCCGCAGGGTACTTAGGATGTTCTTAGAACCAAATCCTTCCATAATGCTGCAGAAAAGGGACTGCAGCATGAGACCTGCAGCACCACCGATTCCTTACATCTGATAAAACTCACTCATTTTAGCACTTGCACATGCGCCACTCACCCACTTACCTGACTATATGGACAAGCGCAATTCATCATGGTGGGGCAACCTGACACTGTTTCTACATCACAGCAATGTATACACACTTTTGCAAACTGTGTGCTGTATACGTACCAACAAATATTCTTTAAAGCAATTTTCAGTGTCAAGAATGGACAGCATGAGGTTTGAAAGCCAGAAGACCTGATGTCCCATTGATTATATCATTATCATTGTCTCCACACCCACTGATAACATTCAATCCCTTTTCCAGTTGATCACATTGGGTTCCTCGTATCTGTTGACCATATTAAACTTCTTGGTTGTGGAATTATTCTGTTTGTCCTATAGTACACCATCACACTAGCTCCAAAACACTGTAGCACATATTGATTGTACCAGGTATTCTCTGTCACACCGATTATACTGATTCCTTTCACTGCACTGAGCATATTGGGCCTTCCTGTCTCATTTGCTATAGTGGCTTCCTCGGCTGTACTAATTATACGGGTATTTTCCTGTCTCAATGGTTATAGCCAATCTCTTTCACAATGATGCTGACATCCAGTTATCACTGATTATATTGGAACCAAAGTGCCCCCTATGTCCTAGCTGTCTCAATGACTTCACAGCATCTTTTCACTGAACACCATACTGCTATTTTATATGATATAATAGTCTATACCAAGAAGCCCACTTAGACACTTCAAGACATTTGGTTTCCTTTCAAACTTAGGCCTGTAATAAACAGACAATACCATACATTTTCATAGAACAGAGATAAAGAAATAATATTTCCCATAGATGAATTCCTCTCTTGACCCAATTTCACAATTTCTGCTCAGATTATGTTGCAGCTAAATGGAGGGAAGGAGTGCCGGTAGGACCCTCTTACAAAGATGGAAGCCCCATCTTTGTCTCGATCGCAGCTTTTGAGGTGCTCACCCACAGAAAGAAACTGCAATCTCAGATTTCAGTTTCCCCTCTTCAAGACCCTGGTTTCCCTCTAAAATTTTGAAGAAAGTGGAAAAGGAGAAGTAGACATAATACATGCAGTATACCAGAAATTAGGACAACAGTCTCATTTTAGCAAATCCAGACAAGTATGAGACTGTCCGCTTTGCAGCTCACAACAAGACCTGTCCCTTCCTTCTCTACTCAGTGTTGCCAACATGGCATCGACATACTGGCATGAACCCCATCAAAAGTTAAGAAATTCTGGTTGCGCATCTTCCGCTTATGACAAGTTTCCTAGAAATCTCATGTCTCAGCCAGGCAGACACAGCACTCGGAACCTACCAGAATCAATTCCGGGGTCAGTGCGTGGGACAGCCCGGGAATGTCACGCTGATGTAGGTCATGGTGAGCACCGTTCCACTCTGTATCTCTCACTCTTGCTTAAAGGGCCACCTAAAAGAGACAGGAGTCCACAGACTATGGCCACACGATCCCTTCTTGCAGATGGGCCAGGCCTTCTGTTGAGAATATCAGGGCCTATATACTACTTTGCAGAGTGCTTCCCCTTTAAGACAGGACTGTGCAGTCTTTATTTGCTTGTTGAAACTGTTCAGTTTTAGGACAGGGGGGGAGGTCACACCTGTTGTGGAACTTGATAGAAGGCTTATTTATAAACTTTCAGAGCTTGGGATTCTTGCAGAGCTGAATGCGCTGATGTCCGGAGGGGAAGGTCACCGAAATGCTTGTTTATAAAAGCAGCAGCAACTGGAAAAACCATAAAAGTCTGAAATGATGAAATTAACAAGCTATTTGATCAGGCGCATCGGCTGTGCTCTGTGGTCAGCCAGAAAAACCTCGCACGTAAGAGTCTACCCTGCTGGCTGCTACCCTGAAATTCTCCTTCAGAGAGGCGAATGCATTGCACCCGAAGAGGGCAAAAAATAATCAGCTGCTTAGTATAGTCTACTTTTGGGTCGCTGGCTGGTCCAGTCTTAATTTGACCTTGCATGGAAAGGGGAAAGCCTACTCTGCACTTGGTATCACAGCTAATCCACTCTTTAGTTTCGCAACTTCAAAGAGCTACACCACTTGTTAACGTGCAGAGTGTTCTTTTAGCAAGGAGTCAGTCACACCCCAAAAATCTGCCACTACTGGCCGGGGGGGAGAGGTGGCAACTTCTGTCTTCAGAAACACTTCCGGATTTCTGCAAAAATGTTGTGTGAAAGGTGTTGGATTTTTTGATTGATTGTTTGTTTGTGTTGCTGTTTGGAAAAGCACTTATAATATTACAGTTTGGAGAGAAGGGGAAATAAAAACCTTCCCTTGCGTTTTAGCTTTAGTTTCTATTCTCATTTCACAGTAGAGCAAATTCAAAAGAATTTCTTTTTCTCCTCTCTTTTTTCTCTTTTTAGTTTTCTGTATATGTCAGAATCTTGGTTTAAGGAAAGCTTCATTTTCACTTGGTGACTGATGGCTGAACAGGTGGCTTCTGAGTTTGCAAGTGTCAGATGAACAAGCAGTTTAGAAATGGACAATTTGCAGCTCACTTTCTCTTGCTGACGGCCCTTTTTCTGCTGACAGATTCTTGCCCCTACCAGCCAAATCATGCACACAGTATCTGCCCTCCACCCCTGATAAAAAAAAAAACTTCAAGAGAAAAAAAAGCTAAGAAGAAAGAAGATGGTCTCTTGGGAACTCCTAGCCATAAAATGGAAAGAACTTCACACTTGAAGGCATTCTTGCCAGCTCAGCCTACTTGGACATAATTTATAAGAGGGGCAGGATTTTCTGCTTCATTTTCTTTCCTGGAAAGCTTGTTTGTTTTATGGGATTTTTCTGCAGAACCCTGTATAAGTGGTGGGATGCCAGAACCAGCACCAGTGACTGTCCACTGAACATGATGGGTTTATTCAAATACCAGAGCCACCAACCCCTCTCCACAAACCTTTTCCTCGACCACAGCTAGTCAGGATCCTACCTAGAAATATTGCCAACTAGGGGATTGTGACAGGTGAATGCCCTTCTGCCTGTTAGTGATGAAGTCTTTTGATGATTATAACAAATAGGGTTGTATATAACTTTCTGTTGAGGCTCATACAGCATAGGCATCCCGTCCCCACCATAATCCTAATCCTGTCACCCAGGGACGCAGCACCCAGACATTAGCAAGCAGAGCTCTCCCCACTGCTGGTGGCTGGCTTGTGCCAGAGGCACAGGGGAAGGTCCTGCTGAGAACCAGGAAGTGCCAATGTTGCTCGCAGAGCCCAGGAAACGTGGGCAGGACCTGCACAGGTGCATTACTGCTGCCCGAGCTGACAAGAGATTCCCATGCCATATCTTTACATGATCATGGGGTCACCAAATGCTGTATTTCATTAATTAAAGCAGATACCAGAGTAACCTTTTTTGTAAACTGCATTGTTAAAGTATGGATTTACCTAAGGTAGCAGTCACTCTTCTGATGTTTGGCTATGGGTGAGTAACTTAAGAGCTGTTTTTTAAAAGATCTTAGAGGCTCTTGGTACCAATTTTTCAAAAGGATTTAGATGCCTTTGAAAGATAAGTGCCCAGAGGGGTCTTAAAATTTTCAAGGCAGGCTACATTAAAATCATTTGGATTTATGGGCCTATCTTAAACAGTTTTGATAATCTACAAGGTGCCTATCTGAATCTTTAGATAAAGAGAGCACTTTGAAAATATGACACTTATGGATTTGAGGAATTGTAATCTGGAGAACACATCTCGCTGACTTTCAGGGGCATTTAAACTCCTAAGCCTCTCAGAAATGAAACTTAGGATCCTAAGTCACTTAAGTGCTTAAAAAATGTTGCTATGTGTCTGTACGAGCTGGATGAGGACAGATGAGCAGGGAAGGATTAGATGCATGCATCTGTCTTTCCATGTAGCTCTCATAACACTTGAGTGTCTCTGCATATGGATAAAGGTGGATTGATGAGTGCATGACCATATGCATGAGCATATAATACGGCCGATTGGATGGGACAGGGAGGAACAAAAATTGGGTGGAAGTGACAGGTGATTACATGGATAAATAACATCATCTTGCTGAACATTTATTTAGTGCTTTTCATCCAAAGGTACCCTTAAGTGCTTTACAAACTGTTATGGATATAAGAATGACTCCACCAGCCACAGCAGCTCTTTAAGAGTACACAGCCAAATTATATGATCAAGTTATGACCAGAAATGAAGAGTATCAAGTCCCACTGAAATTACCTAGAATTTTTGGCCATCAGCCATTTAGGATTCAGTCAATACACCCAGGTTAGAGCTGTTACACAGGAAGAAAGTGCTATGGAGATCTAACAATGACAAATGGGAAGGACCTACCTTTCAACACCATTCAAAAAGGAACACTGCCAAGAGCACATGAGCTGGGGAAACTGGTTCAGCATTAATGCAGAGAGGAGAGGGAACTACTGGCTCTCCATGGGTGGCAAAAGGGAAGATGGGGAGGGAGATGAATAAATGGTTATATGGTATTTTAATGGAGAACAAAGTTACAGGAGTTTGTTTGAAATAAACCTGCATAAAAAGAAAAGGAGCAGAATGGTGAATGGATGAGAGATCCACGGGGGAGAGGGGTGGTTCAGACCTGAGAGGTTTTCAACACTGACTGTCTGAAGCTCCAAGCCCACGTTCTCACTGGGAGGAGATCCCATCTCTTCCCACATTAGCTAACCTGGGCTGTCTTTCTCCGGGCAGCACATGCACTCCAAAGAAGGCAAGTGATGCCAGCTGCTCTCTTGCCAAATGGTGGAGTTAAAAGCTGTACAAAGTCATAGACAGTAAACAATGAAACAGAAACGACAACAGCAGTTTCTCCTGCTGCCTCCACCTCTGCGTCTTGCTGCTTCCCTCTTTCACCCTCTTTCTCCTCCTCTATCTGCCAAAAGGATGAAAACATGATTGAATCCATACTCTGTGACACAGCCTGGGGAAAAGCAGCTGCCCAGTATATATATTTATTTCAGTACAGCAGAAGAATCAAGACTACTATTCTAATACAACCTAAAAACTGCTAGGCACTGAACAAACAGGGGAAAATGTGTTCATCTTCTTTTCTACTCTCCTAGCTGCATTTCCTCTATCCACAGCATCAAAATAGCCAGTATCTCTGACAAGTTTAATGCTAGTGAGATAGTATCAGGAAAGGATGTCCCATTTTTGTACACCTAACCTGTACAGAAGTCTTTTCCCACCATGAGGGGGATTTTTGGAAATGCTGCCATTGCAAAGTATAGTTTCCTCACCACCTTGAGAAGACAGTGATCCACTGAACAGAGCATGCAAGGGGCCAGCTCTGTCCTGCAGCTGTAATAAAGAATATCCTACTGTCATGATAAGCGAGCGCTGGTTCTTCACTGTAGGGAGATCTGTCCTTGAGTAAAGGCCAGGCTGTACAGCTCACACACACAACACTCTGCTTGACTTCGAGGGATTCAGGCAATGGGTGATGAGTGACTCACAGAACCAGTCTCCAGTAATGCATATTGCTCAGTATCAGATAAAATCCACTGACATCTCTGTGTTGTTCCCTTCCCTTTACCACTTCTGCAGCAAATACTACTGCGTCCTCCCCTGCTCTGTCATTTCCAAGATCCTACCCACAGAGCCCTCCTCCCTGGCATGCTCTCCCTTCCCCACTGCCAAGCACCATCACACCCTTTGGCTTTCGCCAATGGTGCCTTGAACAGCCGTGCTCATTGCGATCTCTGCCCACACCAGGATGCTGTTACAATTTGGTCTATATTTGGAAATACTTCCTATATAACTATGTTTAGTGTTGGGACTATGATTCTTCCCAGTGTAACTGTACTGCCAGAGCCCAAGCATATAGGTAGTTATGCTGACAAAATAATACTCCTGGTAGTAGAGTTTATTTCCTTTGAGGAAGTGGTATAAGCTGCAATGACTAACACGTTCATAGGCCAGGTAAGCGAGGTCAGAGCTGAGAGGTTCTCACAGAACAGCTATACCGATATATTCCAATTAGCCCTTCCTATACACAAGTTTAGCTCAAAAACTGTTCATGCTTAGTACTGTTTTCATTGGGTCTCATAACTGGATCACACAAATACTAAATGACTAGTAGCCCCTGCTAAGGTATATTTAAATCAGGAAAGGAGGATGATCTCATTTCTGAAGCAATAGCCTGTGAATCAGGAGATGCAGCTCCAATTTCTAGCTCTGCCAAGACTCTATAGCTAGCCTGGACACGTCACTTCCTCAGGGCTTCACTGGTAAATAAGAGATACTCCTGCTTCCTTTTTCTGCTCCTCCAGCTGCAATGCAAGCTCGTCAGGACAAGGGCTGTTTCTAGCAATGTAATTATATGGTACAAAGCATGGTGGGCCTCAGAG